GATCTCCCAGGGCAGTAGAGGAGAGCGGAGAGAGGTCTTTTGTGCTTGAGGCAGGAGCATGATGAGTGACAAGCATCAGGCTTTGTCTAGGTTCTGAATTCAGAGAACAGGTGTGGTTGTGCAAGCCAGCACTTGGGAAATTGAGGCAGGAGGATCAAAAGTTGAATTATCCTTGGCTACATAGTGAGTTTAGGACCAGTCTGGGCTACATGAGACCCTGTCTCCAACAAAACAAACTAGAACAAAGGAGATTGTTATGCACCCTACCTCCTCCATAAAATCCAATTCTGTGGCTCACAAGTCACCAAGATGACAGGAGACAGATGGTAAACCCCCCTTGATGTTGAGATCATTTGGTTCCATCTCTTTTGCCCCTAAACAGATGTCGGTGATGAAGAGCTAAGTGACACTGTTCAAGAGGAAGACAAGCCCGTTTGATGAAGATAGTCCACTGTCAGTGGGTCTTGCAAGTTCATTCCGTTTTGACTGCCCTCTCCCTGCCGCCTGGGAGCTTGCATTGTGACCGCTGGGCTTTCCCAGCATAGGCTGTCATCTCTCCTCCTGTCTTCTCCCACTGACTTCATTTGCTGTGAAAGGCACTGGAAGGAGCAGCTCGTGAAGGGCAAAGCTACAGTGGTGTCTAAGGTGCCCCTTTGCTGTGACACCCGGCTCTACCCATGTTAATTTACTGGGACAGACACTGATTGGGGGGGCACTCACTTGGTGTCTGTGCGCCATGCCACTATTCAAGGTATGCAACCAGCTTGCCCAACACAAAGGGGAACGTGGTGGTGGGGCTTTTTTTTTTTTAAGTCACTCTTGAGGTGAGGAGCCAGGCCCTTTCCAGAGAGAGAGGAGGCAGCTAGCTGAATTAGACATAGGGGGTCACACAATGAGGCTTCTTCCTTGTTGCTTCCCCATCTAGAACAACCATGAAACAGTACCACTTTTGAAGCTCCTGAGAACGAAGGAGGTAGTAGTATAGGGTGTAAAGGTGTTTGGGGGATGCTCAGTAGAGTTGCTCTTGGGGCCACTCTGCCCACCCCAGCTATTCTTTTTGTCCTAGAGAGGGACACACACCGGTCCTTCTAGCCTTCTGTGCCACGGAAGTGGGAATGTGTGTTCTCTTCCTACTTACTAGGATGATGCACTGATTGAGGACAGTAAATTTCAAAAGAAAATAGTGGGTGATGAGTTTAGCTCGGGACAGCTAAGTTCTGGGGATTTTTTTTTTTTAAATTTCATCTAAATATTCTGAAGTCAGGGATCTTCTAAAGGTGCAATAGGTATGTGCTAGCCATGAGAAATCTGACTTGGAATTTGCACTCTGTACTTGTGCACATCCTGCCAGACAGGACAAGGTCTAGGGCTTTAAGGACTTTGTAACTCTGGGGCCCAGGAGTCCTGAGGAGCTGGTTAGCAGAAATACCTGCAAGGTGCAGGAGGGGCTGGCTGCTCTGAACTGAAGCCACTGCCTGTGTGGCCAGTCTGAGCTCCAGGAAGTTCAGCAGGCTCTGAATTTGAGTCCTTGGGAATGGGGGTGAAGAAGTGCAGTTCTCTTGCTTCGTGGTACCTCATGCACTGGGTCACTCCAGTCTGTCATTTCACAATGAGATACTCAGGTTGCCTTCAGTCCTAGAAGCTGGCCTCTCCTTTGTGGTCTAATGATAGAACTCCTGAGTTTCTGTGACTCAGAGGCAACTTTAAAAGAGGAGACACTAGCTAGAGGGGAAGTTGTAGCTGGGAACATGGTGAATGTTTTGCGAGATTCCCCGGGTGCTTCCCACAGCTTCCTCTTCTGCACACACCTGGCAGTAGGAAATATTTGAGGGTTTTCCACCAGCAAATGGGAGCTTCATGGGCTTGGTGCCAAATGCTGTTATGAAGCCCTGACCAGTTATCATTGTCACTTTTATTATCAGCCTGTGTGCACATTTATAAAATGGCAAATCAACTAATAGCCAGGCACTAAAGGGCTTCATGTTTGAAGGATTTGTGAAAAATTGGAGACCTCACCCCCTTCTTCCTTAACACAATCCATACCCAGATCTCAAGGCATATGGACAATGGGTTACAGACTTTGTATGGGGAAGTCCATTTTGTGCATTGACCTTAACAAACAAACAAAATGTATTTGCAAGTATCAGTTAACTCAGGAGATCCATTTAAACCAGGAAGAACACCCCTTCATGGTTGCTGAAATCACACTGATCCCCTCAACCCCAGCAGACATGGAGAGGGCTCTGCAGCCCTGTGCTTCGGCATTGGCTCCACTCTTCACAGTTGTAGGAGCATGGGACTGTCATCCTTGGTGGGTACAACTTTGTACTCTAAGTGCCAATCAAATCTCTCAACACAGGACTTGCCAGCTGAAAAAAAAAAAAACTGTAGGTGGCTTTGTGTGGTTGATCTTACCATTCAATAGGGGAAATTTGAAAAAAAAAATCAGTTTTAAGGTCATGAATTTTAAAGGATTTTGGAATAAAGTTATTTTTTAAACAGATACTTCAGTGATCTTGATTTACACCTGGCAAGTAAAGGATTGGGGGTTAGTTGTGCCGGTAATCCCTGCACTTGGGAAGCTGAGGCAGGTTTGCTATGAGCTTGTGTCCAGTTTGGGCTACAGAAAAAGACTTTGTCTCAAAAAAAAAAAATCAGGGCTCAACCCATACAGGCATTTATTTGCAACTCTGTCAGAGAGAACCTAGTCCCAAAAGTTGTCCTCCGATGTCCCCATGCACACCATGGCTTCCCTCACCTAGCTGCATACAAACACAAAATAAAGGAAAACCAAGGAAGAACAAAAACGACCTGGAAAAGAGCCAGGAAAGGTGGTTTCGTTTTTGTCGTTCTTCCCACTTGACTTTCCATGACTTGTACACAGTGAATGCTAAGTACAGGAAAGGGTGTGGCTCGCTGACAGAATGTTTACATGGGGGAGGTCCTGGGTTCCGTCTCCAGCACCTCAAAATAAAGACAAGAAAAACATTAAAAATGAGAACCTAAAGACACCAGGAAATGGACATTTGAATGGAGAAATGGCTTAGTTTACTGAGAACCGGCTGCTCTTTGAGAGGATCTGGGTTCAATTCCCAGTACCCACGTCACAGCTCATAATGTGTGTCAATCAGTTCCAGGGAATCCAACGTCCTCTTCTGGTCTACTTGGACACCAGGCACGCATGTGCAGACACAGGCAGGCAAAACACCACACAAACACGTAATAAAATAACCAACTGGGAACAGTACCTTTGGCCTCCACAAGGATGTGTATTCTCACACGCGAGAATGAAAAGGAAATGGGAGAACTGGAGGAAACAAGGCAGGTTAAAGAGGACTGGAAGGGTAGTGGAAATGAGTCTGCAGAGTAGAACTGGGATCTAAGGAGATGGAAGGACATCGGGGACTAAGAAAAAATGCCTTAGGGTGAAAGGGGGGCTGGTAAGAAAAAAAGGAGAGAGACAGGCAGTAGAAAACAAGAGGGAGGGTGGATGGATGTGTGGGTGGTGGTTGTGGGCCTCAGACAACTGGTAAACGGCGGGTTTTTCCAGGAGACTGAGGAGAAATGGATCATAGATGACAGTGTGCCCCGACTGAAAGGTAAGTCAGAGAAGCTTACAAAGGAAGAAGGCAGACAAGGTTTCGGACTCACAAAGCGTGTTAGAGCAACTTCTAAACCCACCATTTTTCCTTCCCCGGCTCCACATTAAAAGAACCACGTGACTCAAATGGAAAGGAAATCAGGAGACAACTTTGAGAAAAGTCCAGTCTGGGAACAGGAAAAGGGACTTGAGCGACCCTGAGAGTGAGGGTGGTGACAGGGCACTACCTGGGACAATAATTAGAGCCCAAATGAGAAAACCCAAGGCCAGCTAACTGCAGGAACTAAAGCAACTACTAACCTACACACCCATACTTTTTTTCTCCGTGACTCCAAGTTAAAGAAATTGGACTGATCAGGAAATAACCAGGACCTGAGGGTGTCAGGACATGCAGAGAATCTCAGGGGGCTTCGGAAAGATGGGGGTGCCTCGGCCAACAGTGGAGCTAAGCCTTGACTCTAACTTCACCTCCCCAGGTGTCCCCTCCCACCCCCGACTTCCCCAAGCCAGGCTCTCCAGCATCCCTCCCTCGGGAACGTTGCCAAGGCGGCACTCCACCTCCGTCATGATCCCCAGCTCCTTCAGCAGAGTATATCCCATAGTCAACACCCCGCATCATGAAGCCAGCAGCTTCCCTGAGCCTCGGGCCGTCCCCTAGGTCTCCCAGCTTCATACCCGATCCTCGCCCATCTTAATATCTGCTCGTATTCTGGGCTTTCACTTTAGATCTTTTCACACACACACACACCCTCAGTCAGACCTCGGGTTTTAGTTGGACAAATTTCCATACTGGACGCGGTTTCTCCCCCCCCCCCATTCCTGTTGGCTCCCCCGTTTCCCTTTCCCTCTACCCCTAATCCCACTTTCCTCTCAGCCCAGTCAAGTTTGCGCCTGCTCCCTACCCTCCCAACCCCGCCGCTCAGGCCTTTGCCCTGGCCAGGGGTCCTTTAGCACTATGTCTCCCCCCCCCCCCCCCCCCCCCCCCCCCCCCCCCGTCACCGCCGCATTCCTTTCAGCTCTGCGTCAGTCCCCTGCCCCTGCGTTCCCTCCCGGCTTCACGCCTCCCACCCCCCGCCTTGAGTCCCTTAGCCCGGTGGTTCCCTAGCCCCGCATCCCCTCAGCTCAACGTTCCCCCTGCCCGCGTCCCCTCCACTCAGCGTTTCCCGAGCCCCGCGTCCCCTCAGCTCAGTGTCCCCTGCGCTCAGCACTCCCCCTGCCCCGCGTCCCCTGCGCTCAGCGTTCCCCCTGCCCCGCGTCCCCTGCGCTCAGCGTTCCCCCAGCCTCGCGTTCCCCTCAGTCCCCTCGTTTTCCCCCCCCCAGGTCCGAGTTCTCCCCCATACCCGCCGGCCCACCCGACGCCCCCGCAGCCTTGCGTTCCCCTGCGCGCTCCCGGCCCCGCCCCCGCCGGCCGCCATGTGACGGGAAGCAGCTGATGGCCTCTGCGGGCAGCAGCGGCGGCGGGGAGGGGGCGGGCGGCGCGGAATGAAGGCCCGCGGCCCTGGGGGCTGAGGCTCCCGCCGCCGCCTGGCGCGGCCCGCGCGTCCTCATGGAGGCCGGAGGTGAGTACCGCGGCGGCGGGAGCGGCGGCAGGGCGGGGACCGAGGCGGGAGCTCAGCTTTGTTTCACTTTCGCTGTCAGCAGCGCCCGCCGTCCCCGCTCGGCCGCAGGAACCGGAGAGGGCGGCCGACTGGCTGGCCGGGTTCCCGAGCTCATGCCGAGGGTGCTGGGCCCGGGTCGCCTGCGGCTGTGGCCTCTCTGTCCGCCACGGCTCGGGAGGTAGCAGCGGCCGCTGGGTGGGTGCCTGGGAACGGGGTGGGGCCCCGGACGCTGCCCCGCGGTGACACGTAGGACCCGACACCCTGGTGGGTGAGGTTCAGTCCTGGCTCTGCCTTGGTCCACAGCTGTCACCATGAAAGCTGGAAAAGAGAGAGCTTGGGATGAACTTCCTGACCGCCTGGAGAGCGCAGAGTGGCTCAGGAACGCTAGACCTACAGTCCCCGGGGCTTCTCCCTAAAGTGGCATGCATTTTGGGGAGGGAGGGTCTATTACCAGACCCCATGGTCCCCAAATACTCGGGTTTAAAGGCAGCTTCGGTAGGGCAGTCAGTCCTAGGAGTCAAGGCCTAGGGCTCAGACTTGCTCCAGTGAAGTTCAAGCTTCACCTAGGTCTGCAGGACTCGGATGCGCCCCAGGGCTTGCAGTGCTGGGTGGGATGTTTGATAGGCGGGTATTCCCTGGGGTGGTGTCCCCTTTGCTTTTAGGAAATGACATTTCTTTGTTTGTAGTAGCTAGGCTTTCGGGGATAGGTGTCGCCTGCAGCTCTTCTCCCGGTTTCTATCTAGATAAAGCCTTTGAGTTCTCTTTCTCACAGAATTCTGTTTAAATGGCCTCTGCTGTTTTCTTCTTGAATCTTTTTATAGCTTCCGCTCTCTTTTCCATTGATGCCTTCTAGTTAAATCTCAAAGCAATCTGTGACCAGACTCCCTCTTCTTAACAGGAATAGGTTCGAGAGCAGTTTTCCCCTGAGTGATTGACAGCTTTGTCGTAGGGGTGTGGGCAGAGCTGGTGAGAGCTGCCAAACTACTGCTAAAAGGGCCAGACACTAGGCCTGAGTTTTATCCTCTTTTCAGACTGAATAAGGCTATTGTAAAGGGATTACAATAGAAAACAGTGGAATAGTGGTTAGAATTACTCTATTAACTCAACAAATATTTGTGGACTATCTCCTATGTGCTGGGCACCCTCTAGTTCATTGTTGGCCCATAGAAATAGAATAGCAATATGTAATTTAAATGTAGTAGCCATCACTTCCACTAGGTTTTTACAATCTGGTGTGTATTTTACTCTTTTTAAAAACTATTCTTAGCTGGAAAGTGGTGGCATACGCTTTTAATCCCAGCACTTGGGAGGCAGAGGCAGGCGGATCTCTGTGAGTTTGAAGCTACTGAGCAACCCTGTCTTGACAAACCAAAAAACACAACAACAACAATAAAAAACTAATTCTTAGATTTATTCATCTTTTATGTATGTCTGTGTACCATGCATATGCCTGGTGCCTGAAGAGGCCAGAAGAGGAAATCAGATCCCCTGGAATAGGAGTTACAGACAATTGTAAGCCACCATGTGGGTGCTGGAAGTCGAACCCAGGTCCTCTGCTAGAGTAACAAGTGCCCTTAACTGCTGAGCCGTCTCTCCAGCTCTATTCTTAACGGCCCTCCTACACTTCATTGGTCAGTAACTGCTTGTGACTAGGGACTAGTGACAGATAGGCAAGGAGGATTGAGGAGAGATCGGTCACAAATACTACCCAGAAAACCCTAGTGTACAGAAAACTCAATGACTAACATTAAAGAAAGGTGATTTAGTCACCTTGGTGAGTCAGGAAAGTCACCAAGAAGGTAATGTGGACACAGCCCTGCTTATTATGAGGGAGCAGCCTAGTAATGCAAAGTTCCCAAGGCAGGAAGGAACACAAAGCTTGCTGCGAGCTGGGTTCCTGGCTCCGCCTCAGTTAAAGCAAGGTTCCTTATGCCGTGCCAAGAAGCTGATGAGAGGTGCTAGAGTAACAAGTGCCCTTAACTGCTGAGCCGTCTCTCCAGCTCTATTCTTAACGGCCCTCCTACACTTCATTGGTCAGTAACTGACTGTCTGTACATCTCCCTTGTTTGGTTGGAAAGCCTGGAAGGGGGTGGGGTAAGGTAACGCTGGTTACTGAACTTTGGTTCCCTAGGATGGTGACTACAGTTAATAACACTGCTAGGGTTTTGGAAATTGCTGACAGGTCTTTGAAAGAAATGCTAAGAATATGAAGGCGTGCATATGCTCATTAGCTCGACAGACCCCTCCCCCACTACCTGTTTCTCTGAGTATCAGTTTATCTGTCACATGATATCCAGTAAGTATGTATTGCATATCAGTTGGATAACACCCCACCCCCATACACATCCAACCAAAGAGGGTCAAGAGGGTCATGCAGGTATAATCTCAGATGGAGCTGGATCTTTCCAGTCTTTCCTTTGTTTTGAAGTTCTAAGCTAATTATGGTTTTGTTTTCCAGTAGCCAAGTTTAGGCTGCGCCCAGACTCGAAGACACAGTTACCGGTTTCTTCTTTTAGATTCTAGATTCCTGACCTGAAATAGCAAGAGATGAAACCCCCAAATCCCAGAAATAGAGTATGAATTCTGGGCAGGGCTAGGGTTTAGGAAGAATCTCAAGTAAATAATGGCACAATCGTCTTGATAGTCTAAGGGGTCTCATTTCCTCTATATTTAAAGTGGTCTGACTTGTTTGTCTGTCACCGAGTGTCTCCTGGTAGCCTGACTGTGGCTTCAGGAACAAGTATATGAGGTTGCTGCTGGAGCACACCTCCTAGTGATGAGGACATAGTGAGGTTGGGGGTCAAAGTGTAGGTGAGGTGCAGCCATGGAGTGGCACTCCTGTGGAGGGAAAGGTTGGTGTAGAGTCCTGAGGTTGGGACTTACCAGAGAGGCAGAGGGCCAGGCGGGACCTGGGACTTGAGGGCAGTATATTTGGTTTGGTTGATTATAAAGGTAACTGAAACCAGAAGCTAAGAAGCAAGGAGAATGGACGAGTAGGAGCCAGAGAGCAGTTAGAAGACTGCCTATAAGCCAGACAACAGGCAGTCCTGCAGAGTCCAGTAGTAGCCATGAGATGGGAAGGAGGATTTGATGAGGCTTTTGGAGACAGACTTGATTGAACTTAACAGTGAGTTTGGTCTGGGCAGAGAGAAGTCCAGGCTGGGCCTTCTATGTTGTGTGGCGCACCAGCATATAGAAGAGTAGAAGCTGTGTGTCCGGGAGGGTGAGGCAAGCGTGAATAGTATAGGATGGCGGCGGGCTCCCCGGCTCATCATAACGCTCATGCGGACATGTTGCATACGCCAGAGGATTCCGGACACAAACCCATACAGCTTTCTAGGAGGAATAATCTGAGTTTGTATATAGAGCAGTTTAGACCCAATGTATTAAAACCTATATCTTCACATAGGACCTCAGCAATGAGTTTTTTCTTCAGAAAGCTAAGATACAATGCATTAAAATTCTATCAGAAGACTGAATTTTCAGCAACATCCATATTTTATAAAACAAGATGCATCTTTGGGTCCAGCGAGATGGCTCAGTGGGATTTTAAAAGTACTTGCCACAAAAATCAGTTTAAGCCCTCAAGCCCATGATGGAAGGAGAGAGAACTGGCTTCTGAGAATTGTTGTCTGACCTCCTGCACACGCCCTATGGCATTCCTTTGTGAGCGCCACACATATACAAAGATTCTTAAAGAGATACATTTATGTATTTCCTATTGTACACATAGCAGAAAATGCTTGTTTTTTATGTGAATCTTTATTGCCTCTGTTTCACTGATACCACCATGCTAACCATGGACCGACTGCATTAGCACTATGTGTCACTAAGGAAAGAGACAGCCCCTCTTTCTAGCAAAGTTTCTCTTGTAAGGTGTACGCCAGCTGCTTTGAGGCCCAAATATTAAAAAAAAAAAACATGTAAAAGCAGGTTTTTAAATATATGAAATACAGCTTGTTTAAATTAGTTTCTATGGAGTCTGGAGAGGTAGCACAGTGGTTATGAGCGCTGGCTCAGTTGGGCAGTGGTAGCACACACCTCAGTCCTGACGCTCAGGAGACCCAGGCGGATCTCTGAGTTTTTGGACAGACTGGTACAGAGTGAGTTCCAGGACAGCCAAGGGCTACACAGAGAAACCCTGTCTCAAAAAAACAAAACCCAAACTGTTCTGGCAGAAGCCCCACCCCAGTCCCTGGTATCCATATACTCAAAGAGTCTGGCATGTTCCTGTGGAAGCTCCACCCTAACCCCCCCCTTCCCTGTCTCTCTCCCCAAACACAACTCCTCCCCCAGAGATGCTCAAGACCACTCCCATAGGACATTTAAACTATACCCCCCCCCCCCAAAAAAAACAGACGCGGAGGTTTTTGGGTTTTTTTTTTGGTCTCTTTCCCTGTCTCCTCTCTGAGGGGCCGGAAAATCATCAGGGAGCCTTTTACCCATTAAACCTGAGCTTTTTCGAATTGGGTTTGATTTGGTCTGATTTGGATTGCTGCGTTGGCAGAGAGGCTTATGGGGCTCAGAAGCTTTTCACAAACAAAACGAAAATAAAACACTGTCTGCTCTTTTAGAGAGAGGATCCAGGTTTGATTCCCAGCACCCACATTGTGGCTTACAACTATCTGTAACTACAATTCCAGGGCATCTAACTTCCTTTTCTGACCTTTGTGGGCATTGCATACATATGACACCCACACAGCTAAAACATTTATTTATACACATAAGTAACTTATAAAAATTAAGTTACTGAGCCGGACTCGGGAGGCAGAGGCAGGCGGATCTCTGTGAGTTTGAGACCTGGTCTACAGAGCTAGTTCCAGGATCTCTGTGAGTTTGAGACCTGGTCTACAGAGCTAGTTCCAGGACAGGCTCCAAAGCCACAGAGAAACCCTGTCTCGAAAAACAAAAACAAAAAAAAAATTAAGTTACTGTTTATCTGATAACACCCACAAAAGCTTCAAATCCCAGAACTTTTGAAGTGGAATGAGCACAAAAGTAGTCATGGTATTGAAATCTCTTCCGGCCTCCGATTTAGAAGTCAGCCGTGGAGTTTCTTCACTGGTTCGCTCTGAAGAGAACAACAGGAGGTGGGGTTGGGTTGAACAAACACTGCCCACTTTGAGGAGATGCAGCAACCCCTGGAGAGGGGGTGCAGTCATCTCACTGTGGGAAATGCTCAGGTGCTGGTATACAAGGGATTGAAATAGGTTTGGCTAGGGGTGCTGCCTGACAGTAGACCTAGGTGTGAGTCTGAAGCAGAAAATGAACAGGATGTGAATGGAAAGGGCTTGTTCTCTGCAGGGCAAGGAACAACATAGGAAGTAGCTTGATGGAGGGCTTAGTGCAGGAGTGTGGTGGCAGACCTCCCTGGCAGACCTTGGAATATATCGGCTACGTTTTCATAGGGTGTTTGGAGGCCCCCTGGGGACACAAGAATGAATCAGTAGTAACTTGGAGCAGGTTAAGCTAGAACTAAGGCTCCTGGTTCCTTCTGAAGGGGACCTTAAAGGCATTCATTGGCTGGAGTCAGGCACAGTTGCCTCTCACTTTCTTCCTGCTTAGGCATTCACAGGAAAATGAGGCCTCGTTCACCAGGTCCACCACTCAGGGGTTGGTTACCGTGAGTCATGCAATGGGGAGGGTTGCCACTGAGTAACAACAGTGGAATGCAGCCTGTGGCTACTGTTACTGCCCTAGGTCATTTGAACTACTACTCTCTCCCACCAAGTCTTTGGGCAGACAGCAGCTTCCCTAGTCTGGTAGTGAGGCTGAAGTATGATGTCTCCTTCCCCAGAGGAACCACTGCTGCTGGCTGAACTCAAGCCTGGACGTCCCCATCAGTTTGACTGGAAGTCAAGCTGTGAGACCTGGAGTGTGGCCTTCTCCCCAGATGGTTCCTGGTTTGCCTGGTCTCAAGGACACTGCGTGGTCAAGCTGGTCCCCTGGCCCTTAGAAGAGCAGTTGTAAGTCCTCTTTGTACCCTGGGGAATGAGGGAGGTCCCTGGCGAGTCATGGGGTGCTTTCCCAAGTTGGTTCCTGCTCTTTGGGGTTTTTTCCAAAAATAAGTGAGCAAAGAAAGGCTAAACAGCTGAGGACTTGATCATGGAGCCCAAAGCCCCCATTCTGTTCGTGTAGAAGCCAGGTCTCTAGAGTGTGTTGGCCTTACACTGACTTTTTTGGCAGTTTTATTGCGGTAGAGGTGACAACCATCCAGTTTGTACATTTGAAGTACACAGCACTGCTGTGCTCTGTGATGTACTCTTGTAATCACAGTGCTCGGGAGAGGGAGGCCAGGGCTCCCAGTCCAAGGATATCTTGCACGAGGTGGGGAGACGGTCTCAAAAGAAAAAGTAAAAATAAGTGGAGTGCACAGTGTTTGCACTGAGATGTGTGCCTGTCACCACAGTCAACTCTAGAGCATTGTCATTTCCTCGGGAAGACACCTCTGCCCTTCCTCTTGGGCTCTGGCCGGGCGACCACTGTGGATTCACCTGTCATGAGCTTCTTCCTGGGATCTTTGTGCATGTGTGTGAACACAGCTCCCGCATAGCCTCATGGTTCGTGCTGTGTGCCACTGCTCATGGTGGATGTTAGGTTTTGTCTTCACTCTCGTCCAGGGTCGGACTGAGAGAGTGGCCGGCTGTTTTCCAAAGAGGTTTCCATTTCCCCAACAGTGTCTTCGGGTTTGAAATTCTCTACATCCTTGGTACACTTAACACTTGTCCTTGTTTTGTTCCAGCCTGGCACTCCTGGTGTGAGGTGGGGTCTGGTTTGCATTTCCTTCCCGGCTGCTGCTGTTGAGCGAGCGTTTTTTTCTTTGCTAATGAATCTCTGAGTCCTTCCTTCTCAGGAATGCCTCCTCAGATCTTTGGCCATTTTCTAACTGGGTCTTTGTTTCCTTTTTGTTTGTTTGTTCCTTTGTTTTCTTTTTTTCTTTCTTTTTTTCTCTTTTTCTTTGTTGTTTGGTTTTTTTTTTTGTTTTGTTTTGTTTTGTTTTTGCTGTTGTTGTTTTGGGACGTGGTTTCTCTGTGTATCTTTGGAGTCTGTCCTCAAACTCCCTTTGTTAGACCAGACGGGCCTTGAGCTCACAGAGATCCATCCACCTGCCTACGCCTCCTGAGTACTAGGATTAAAGGCGTGTGCCAGCACCTAGTTTCTGGTTTCCTAGGCAGCGGTTTCTCTTGGGATAGAGGGGTTCTGGAGTCTAAATGTCCTGAACTCCTAGTTGATGTAATAATTCCCATCTGTCCTGGGGTCACTGCGTCTCCGCATTTCTTTATTCACCCAGCATGTGTGTATGTATGTTTGTATGTATGTATGTACATCTTGCAGATCTTCACTGGGCACTGAGCTAGAGGTGGAGGACACTGACCAAGGCTATCAGAGTTTGTTTTGGGGCTTTCGGTGTCTCATAAGTAATGGGCTAGATTTCAGCTTGTATACCTTTGCGGGAAATATGCTGCCTCAATAATGGTAATGCCACCAAGAATCCTTGTCCTATGCCACCTGCACTGCTGGGGAGGAAGGTGTGATTTACCCAATTCTCAAGAATCCTTGGAATGTCCAGAGTGGGGGCCTCTGAAGTGACTGGTGGTAGGCTGCCTCCTAAGTGGCTTCAGGAAGGGGACTGGTGGCCCTGAGTGATTTCCAGTTCCTGCTTTCTATCTAGGTAGGGGAAGGTCAAGGTCATTCACTGCTCTGAACAAAGTGTTCTATTTCTAAGGAAACCGCCAGAGAGACTCTTTGTATCTAGCTCTGAGTCTAGGGTAAGCTGCTGTCTGAAAGTCTTTGTTGTTTTGCTTTTGTGTTTGTTTTCCTCCAGGGTACTCTTTCGCAAGTATATACATTGTTGTAGGTAAATACCCCTCCCGTGGATGAGTACTAAACCGGAAGAGGGGGCTGGAGAGATGGCTCAGTGGTTAAGAGCATTGCCTGCTCTTCCAAAGGTCCTGAGTTCAATTCCCAGCAACCACATGATGGCTCACAACCATCTGTAAAGAGGTCTGGTGCCCTCTTCTGGCCTGCAGGCATACACACAGACAGAATATTGTATACATAATAAATAAATAAATATTAAAAAAAAAGAAAACTGGAAGAGGTGTTCCAATGTCAGTTCTTTTCCTTGTCATTTACCAAAGCAAGAAAAGGATTTACTAGTGTGCTAAGTGAGAGAGTACTTACTTGTGGGAAATCAGAGATTTTGAGGAATGATAATCTGGTGCAGGACAAGCAGATGGCTTCTTTTTTTTTTTTTTCTAAAGATTTATTTATTATGTTTACAGCCTTCTGCCTCCACGTATGCCTGCACGCCAGAAGAGGGCACCAGATCTCATTACAGATGGCTGTGAGCCACCATGTGGTTGCTGGGAATTGAACTCAGGACCTCTGGAAGAGCAGCCAGTGCTCTTGTCCTCTGAGCCATCTCTCCAGCCCCCAGATGGCTTCTTTTTAAAACAGCAGGCAGGGCAGCAGGACTGCCATCACAAGTGCTTGTGAAGCCGATGCAGGAAAGCAGCCCGAGCAGCTTAGCAAGACTCAAAAGTAGGGTGAAGCTCAGCAGTGGGGCTTCTTTCTGAATGTGAGGCTCTGGGTTCCATCCCTTCTGGAAACAATACAGACAGCAAAACCACACAGACGGTGGTGCAGTACATAAGCAGTCATGGTGTGCAGTGGCGTGTGTAGAAGAACAGTGGTGTGACATGACACATGTGATTTAGTTAGAGGTGAACACACAGCAATTTGTGTGCTGTGTTTACTGTGGTTAAAGTGTGCTTGGACTGTGAGTCGTTTGGTCCTTGCTGGACCTTGGACCAGGCCTTTGGTGCAAGTGTCCTTACACAGAGCCATGTGCCCAGTCTGAGTAACATTGATTATGTTTCATTTCTGGATTGCCATTGTTTCTTATGTTTTATAAGTTAAAATAATTGTTACTGGTAGTATTTGTATTCTTATTAGGGGGTTTTTGACCTTTGTCTACTTATTTATTCATTTTTTGGCAGAGCTAGTGATGTAAGGTAGGACCTTGCCTGTGTGAGAAAAGTGCTCTGTAATTGAGCTACATGCCCAGCCCAGAACAGGTTCTCTGTGTAGCCCTGGCTGTCCTGGAATTTGCTATACAAACCAGGCAGGCCTTGAACTCCCAGAGATCCCAAAAGCATAAGCTGTTACTCATTTTTTTTCCCTTAAATCCTGTTAGCTGGGCTTAGTGAAACACTTCTTTTTTAGATTTGTTTATTATGTATGCAGTGTTGTGCCTGACGAGGCCAGACAAGGGCACCAGATCTCATTACGGATGGTTGTGAGCCACCATGTGGATGATGGGAATTGAACTTGGGACCTTTGGAAGAGCAGCCAGTACTCTTAACCACTGGGCCATCTCTTCAGCCAGTGAAATACTCCTTTAGTCCCAGCACTGGGTAGGCAGAGGCATAGTGACTTCCAGGACAGCCAGAGCTATAAAATAGAGAGATCCTGTCTAAAAAAAAGTCTATTAGGAAATACTTTTATTATTGAGTGACTACCTGGTCAGCCATTAATCATAGGCACCACTCTCAAGAATAAAGATCTTAGAAATTGTTTAAACAGTTAGGTGTGTGCATGTGTGTGTCTGCACACGTGTGGAAGCCAAGGGACAGTTTGTAGGCATCAGTTCTCTCCATGTGGGCCCCAGGCACCTAGCTAGGACTGTCAGTACCTGCCCTGCTGAGCCATCCTACCTGCCCAGATCTCAGAAACTTTCATTCAGGAAGCCAGGTTCTGCTAGAGTCCACTCAGTTAGCCCCTCTTCTCAGTGTGCGTTCTGCCTCCCCTCCCCTTCCAGAGTCTCTCTTCTGGGGGTCGCTCAGAGCACTTTTTGAGCACTGGGCTAGGATACCCGTGGTGTGGACTTGAATTCCAGCTCTACTCCCCTCTTGTGACCCAGTGAGATTTATTCCTCTGAAGTCTCACTGTGTTCCCATGCCACTCCTCCATGCCTTGCTCAGTGAAGAAAGAGCCTGTGTGTGTGTGTGTCAGTGAGACTGTACTGCTTCTGATGTTGTGACTCTTCTAGTTTATGTGGGATACTTTAGGGTCCCCAAGGAGAAACTGCGAAGTTCTCAAGGGCATGATCAGCATAACCCTATTGTTGAGCCATACATGACTTTCCCTTTCCAGAAAAGCCCAACATATTAAATGAAATGAAATAACACGTAGTTTCGGATCCCTTGGAGTGAAGGGGCACAGAGGTGCCCTTCATTCAGATATAGAAATAAGAGTTGTGTTTTTGAAAAACTAGAGGTTCTAAGCTGTTTCATTCCTCCTGTGCCTTGTTCATTTTCCTCTTTAGAGACAAAGTCTCCCTGTGTGGTTCACACTGGTCTCGAACTACTGGTCCTCCTCCATGTACCTCCTATATGCTAGGCTCACAGGTGCAGGACCACCCACCTAGCACTGTGGCTTCTTTTCTTTCTCTTGTTTTTGTTCTTCAGTCAGGGTTTCTCTATGTAGTCCTGGCTATCCTGTAGATCAGGCTGACCTTGAATTCAGAGATCTGTCTGCCTCTGCCTCCTAAGTGCTGAGATTAAAGTTGTGCACCACCATGCATGGCTTTTGTGGCCTGTTTTTAATTCTACCCCAAGATGACAACCTGGTCCCTGTGTCAGGCTCAAGCAGGTGTGAAAAGTTATAGACAGTACAGCGAGCAGGTGTGCGTTGATCAGGACCAGTAAAGACCCTAACGAGATGACATTCGGCCATTTGGATCAGAGGTAACAGGCACTTTGATTTTGGTGTCTGCATCCCAGGATGATAAGATGCTTCACATCTGGGAGCTGAAAAACACAGTGGGGAGGTGCCTGATCGTTTAACAGCACCAGAATCCTACATTGCCTTTTCCTTCATCTTACCAATGCTGTTTTTATCTGGAACAGCAGCATTCTTTCTCCAGATAATGACTGGTTGGGCTCTGTGGGTCAGGTCTATCCTGACTGACTCCTTCAGTATTGTGCTCTACACAGAAATGAGGGAGCCAGGCTTCCAACAGAACCTCTATTTTTTTTAATTGATTTTATTGAGCTCTACATTTTTCTCTTCTCCCCTCCCTGCCTCTTCCCTCCCTTTCAGTCCTTTTCCAAGGTCCCCATGCTCCCAATTTACTCAGGAGATCTTGTCTTTTTCTACTTCCCTTACAGATTAGATCCATGTATATCTCTTTTAGAGTCCTCATTGTTGTCTAGGTTCTCTGGGATTGTGATTTGTAGGCTGATTTTCTTTGCTTTATGTTTAAAAACCACTTAAGAGGGCTGGAGAGATGGCTCAGTGGTTAAGAGCTTTGCCTGCTCTTCCAAAGGTTCTGAGTTCAATTCCTGGCAACCACATGTGCTTACAACCATCTGTAATGAGATTTAATGCCCTCTTCTGGCCTGCAGGGATACATGCAGGCAGAACACTGAATACATAATAAATCTTTTTAAAAAAACCACTTATAAGTGAATACATATGATAATTGTCTTTCTGGGTCTGGGTTACCTCACTCAGTATGATGTTTTCTAGCTCCATCCATTTGCCTGCAAATTTCAAGATGGCATTTTTTTCTGCTGTGTAGTACTCCACTATGTAAATATACCACATTTTCCTTATCCATTCTTTGGTTGAGGGGCATTTAGGTTGTTTCCAGGTTCTGGCTGTGACAAATAATGTTTCTGTGAACATAGTTGAGCACATGTCCTTGTGGTACGATTGAGCATCCTTTGGGCATATACCCAAAAGTGGTATTGCTGGGTCCTGAGGAAGCTTGTTTCCTAATTTTCTGAGAAACCGCCATGCTGATATCCAAAGTGGCTGTACCAGTTTGCACTCCAACCAGCAATGCAGGAGTGTTCCCTTTACCCCACAACCTCTCCAGTATAAGTTGTCATCAGTGTTTTTGATCTTGGCCATTCTTACAGGTGTGTAAGATGGAAAATCAGAATTGTTTTGATTTGCATTTCTCTGATGACTAAGGATCAAAATCTCTATTTTTAAACCCTGTCATTTGACTGGAATGAACTAGCCTCACCTCTTAGGATGCAGAGATAGGCATATCTCTGAGTTCCAGGCCAGCCAGGACTATATAGTAAGACCATGTTTCAAAAAGCAAACAAATCCTGTCATTTTCTACAACGTTGGTAAACCTAGAAGACATCATAAAAAGTAAAATAAGCCGCAGGCCTTCATGTGTGGAATCTAAAGAAGAATCGCCTGCTAGAGGGCAGGAGTACAGTGCTGGCCACCAAGGGTGAGAGTGGTGTGTGGCTGGATGTTGGCAAGGCTGCAGAGCCCCTGGGTGGGGGGGAGTGTGTGAGAGGCTCACCCTTGTCTCTATACATTATACATGCACACCACCATGTTGTACATTGTAAATATATACAGTTTTGTCAACATACTGTGACATTTTTTAAAACAAATGACAAAAGAAGTGTTAAGCAAAAGCAGACAGTGCTGCCCTGGGTGTATTCTGCTGCCCTCCGATTTAGGCTGGAGAGCCTCCATTTCTCCAAATGAGCTTGATACAATTTTTAACATATTGCACTACACGATTGACAGAACTGTGGTTTAATGGATCTTTTCAGGGCACGTGAGAATATAGCAGTTTAGTCACATGTGTTGTTAGATATAGAATTCCTCATGAAATACATCTGAGCTTGCCTTGGGATCTGGGGTCCTCATCTGGTTTCCCCAATTGAGTGTACAAAAACTGTCAAATCGCTCAGAAGAGTGGGTCTTCCTGTCTGCTGGTCACATACACTGTGGAATAGTAAACACGCTTTCAGACCCAACCCTAGAGCGTCTACTTCACCTATGCCATTGTGACAGTATTGGGTCCAGTATGGACAGGACCTTGTGTCTGGGGCCTGAGCTTCACTTTCCTGGACTTGTTTCCCAGTAGAATGTGAAAGGTCATGGCTGGGCTGGGCTGAGAGGTCCCAGGGCAATGCCATCTGTGCAGTGCTGTGGCTGCCTATTCTGCTGATGGGTCACAGCTAGATGTGCTGCCAGGGAAGTAGGTGGAAGAGCCTCTTGGTCACCAGGAGTGCAGTGAGGGCAGACATGGGTATGCACCACATGGGCTATAATGGCAAAAGAGGGTTCACTCCTGGGGATTTCTGAGTTGTAGATGGGGCCTTGTTGAGCAGGAAAGCAACAGATGGAGAGTCTCCATGTTCTAATTCTGTCTGTCCTGTGCCTTGCATACTTTCTCTGGGGGAAAAGTGTTTGTTTCTCTCCAAGACCCAAACCCACGATAACTTGCTGAGCAGCATGTGCTTGCTGGAGCCTCTGTGGTCTACTTATCCCACAAGGCAGAGTGCCCCATTGCAGGGAGCTGCAAGTTGGATGGGCCAAAGCAATGAAGCCTGTGTCCCATGAATTTCAAAAGGAAGTAAACCAGAATTCACCGAATGCCAGAAGTGGCTTCTAGGAATTGAGTCTCGATGGCATGTTGGTTGACATGGTTACAATTGTAGATTCATTCAGAAAATGTCTGCTTTGCCCAGCATCCCTAAAGGATTCGAAGCCAAAAGCCGGAGCAGCAAAAATGATTCAAAAGGACGAGGCAGCCTGAAGGAGAAGACACTGGACTGTGGTCAGATTGTGTGGGGGTTGGCCTTCAGCCCGTGGCCCTCACCACCCAGCAGGAAACTCTGGGCACGCCACCATCCCCAGGTGCCAGATGTTTCTTGCCTGATCCTGGCCACAGGTCTCAATGACGGACAGATCAAGATTTGGGAGGTGCAGACAGGTAGGTGTTTCTGGTTAGTAAGGGCCAGGGCGGTGTGCTCATGACATGCGGTCAGGCCCATAGGCTCCATCGACCACCGGGCTGAGGAGTGGGCAGTGACTGCCAAGTCTGCTTCACCTTACACTGACCAAGGGCTTCTGCTCCCTCCAGGGCTCCTGCTTCTGAATCTTTCTGGCCACCAAGATGTCGTGAGAGATCTGAGTTTCACACCCAGTGGAAGTTTGATTTTGGTCTCTGCATCCCGGGATAAGACTCTTCGAATCTGGGACCTGAATAAACATGGTAGGAGAGGCGCCTGAGGCACTTGCTTCCCTCATCTCACCAATGCCATTTTATTTAGAGTTGTGTTCCTTCTCCGTCTTACCCAACAAGTCTTTCTAAGATGTTCTTTTTGTCACCCAGTGTTCCCAAAGTACTGAGTTAAAGATATCTTAGCAGCAAAAGTTCACTGTATGTTTTCCTGTAGGGGCAGGTTCTAGACCCCCCAGGACACCAACACCAGAGAGTACTTGTGCCTCTTATATAAACTGCGGGAGACTGTGCCCAGAACCCACACATACACCCTACTTTAAGCCATCTCTAGAGGACTCCGAATCCCTAATGTGGGCAGTGCTCTGAAAACAGTTGTTACACTGTCTTGTTTAGGCAGCACTGACAAGAAGATTTTATCCTCAATACAGATAGTCTTTCTTAAAATTCTAATTTATTATTGTCCTTGGGGAGCATAACACATGGCACAGCATGGAGGTTGGCCTGCAGGAGTGAGTTCTCTTCTTCCAGCCATATGTGGGGAAATGATGACAATAAAGTCTTCTTCCCTCTGTCACCATTCAGGGGTCCACACCAGAGCTGTGTGGAACTGTCCCTGTACACAGCTATCTCAAATAGAATGCCATAAAAACCGACCACCTTCAGAGAGACAAGTACTCTAAGCTGAGATCCTACTTCACAAAGATACCTTTTCTTTCAGGAAGCCCCCAACTGGACTCCAGACCAGGGCCTCCCAGCCAGAGGAGGCGTTATCCTCCAGGGAGTACTGGCAATGTCTGAAGAAGTTAAAAAATGGCCGCTAGGGGCTGGAAAGATAGCTCAGATGTTAAGAGCCCTGACTGTTCTAGAGGTTCTGAGTTCAATTCCCAGCAACCACATGGTCTTATACAACCATCTGTAATGAGACCTGGTGTCCTCATCTGGTACCCAGATAGAACACGGTATACATAGTAAATAAAAAATCTTTTTTTTAAAAAAAAAAAAGGCAGCCGGGGCGATGGTGGCACACGCCATTAATCCCAGCACTCGGGAGGCAGAGACGAGCGGATCTCTGTGAGTTCGAGACCAGCCTGGTCTACAGAGCTAGTTCCAGGACAGGAATAAAAAAGCTACAGAGAAACCCTGTCTCGAAAAAATTCAAAAAAAAAAAAAAAAAAAAAAAAAAAGAGCCGGGCGGTGGTAGCGCATGCCTTTAATCCCAGCACTCGGGAAGCAAAGGCAGGCAGATCTCTGTGAGTTCGAGACCAGCCTGGTCTACAGAGCTAGTTCCAGGACAGGCTCCAAAGCCACAGAGAAACCTTGTCTAGAAAAACAAAACAAAACCAAACAAACAAACAAAAAAAGGCCTCTAAAAAGATAGCATGGCATGCTGGTTGACAGCCTGGAATGCACAGGCTAGCTCAGACCAAAAGCCTGTTCTGGATCTCACATCCTTAGGGGCAGCAGCACTCGGGAATGTCTGATATGCTGTCCTGTAATAGGGCAGAGCACAGACGCACTTTAGAACATTAATATGCAGCTAGTCCACATACCCAGGAACACACATATGGATTTATTGTAACTGAACATAGGTTGAAATGCCTTTTAAAAAAAGGATATCTGGGCAGGCAAGATGGCTTAGTGCTAAATGAACTTGCTGCCAAGTATGAACCCACATGGTAGAAAGAAATGGCAAAGGAGGCAGTTGTAGAAGAGGCTAATAACCCCAATAACCCCGCATGAGAAGGGTCAGAACTTAGCTCTGGTGGCTGTTCTGCCTGCTGTTATGTAACATTTCTCCTACTTCTCAGAAAAGTATAGCACTTGGGAGTCAGAGGCAGGTAGATCTCTGTGTTGAGACCAGCCTGGTCTACAGAGCAAGTTTCAGGATAGCTAGGGCTACACAGAGAAACCTTGTCTCAAAAAAAAAAAAAAAAAAAACCAAACAAAACAAAGAAATGAGAACGGTAATTATTGCCTTAATTTGGGCTTGCATAGTGCATACTATAGCAGTGGTTCTCAGCCTGCTTAATGCCACAACCCTTCAATATGGGTTCTTAGGTTGTGACCCCCAACCATAACATTATTTTCATTGCTACTTTGTAACTGTTATGAGTCATAATGTAAACATCTGTGTTTTCCTGGATTCACGAGTTGGACCACCCCAAAGGGGTTGAGAACCATTCTGCTGCTGCTTGGAGGCTTTGTCAGTAAGCATCTGCCTCTCTTTCTGAAGGCGGCTGAAGTCTAAGGGTGCGGCACATGGCTGATGACAGGGAGTTCACTCCAGTCCATAGATGGCTATTTCACAAGACAAAAAGGGCAGGAAAGCTCTTTAGGCTTGTTTGCTTTCATAAAGTACTAAATCCCCCTCATGACCAATTTAATTTCCCAAAGACCCCATTCCAAAATGCCTTCACCTTGGAGATTATGTTTGTAGCCTATGAATGTTGGGGTCTCCACAGTCCATACCAGCTTGTAGCTGAACAGTTACGGAGGTGTTTGGAGTGTCCTCATCCACACCACCCGCTCACTACTAGAACCCTGGTGGCTTCTGTCTGAGCCTGGAGCTTGAAAACAAGAAGTCTGAAATGGCCTTCTGCCCACCAGCCTGAGCCATTGTGTGCTCTTCTTTCTGAGACAGGGCCTCTCTATGTAGCCCTGACTGTCCTGGAGCTCTCTACAAAGACCAAGCTGACCTCTCTGCCTTCCAAGTGCTAGAACTAAAGGCTTGCACCTCTATACCCAGCTCTCATATTTTTCATGCTTTGTGTGTAGAGCTTGCTCACCATGTAGCTTAGCCTAGCCTGGCCCTGGACTTGATTGGCGATTGTGTTTCCTCCTTCCCAGTGCTGAGCACACCTGATGGGAAGGTTTGAGGGGAGGCTCAGTAAATCCCTTGCTGATGGAGAGAATGGACCAGGTGACAGTGACTCAGAGTGGGTGGGACCAAGTGGATTTTGGGGAGTACTTTTTTTTTTTTAAGTTTATTTTATGTGTATGGATGTATGCACACAGTGCGTGTGTCTGCTACTCACAGAGGTCAGGGCCTGTCAGATCCCTTGGAGTTGGAGTTAAGGATGGTTGTGAGCTATTATGTAGGTACTGGGAACCAAGCCCGGGTCCTCTGCGAGGGCAGCAAGTGCTCTAACCACTGAGCAATCTCTCCAGTCCCAAGTAGGGCTTTCCAAGAAAAGGGACAAGGTGTGTTACCAGGTGCCAGGCATTGTCTTTTTGGCCAACTTGCCATACTACATTCAGTTATGACGGCTAAATTGCTATAGAAGAGACCATGGTTGAGTTCCACAGCTTATCACTTATAGCCACATGTGCACATGAACTTGGTGAATTCTTGTGTTTCTTGCTTAGCTCTTTGTGTCCCCATTGTTCCTACCTTCCCTCTTCTGTCTTCTACACTTCCCTTACAATTGGTAGCACATGTCACAAACCTCTGTCCATACTGTCTGTACTTGTGAACACACACATAGTCCTGAACACACATAGGGTTTTGAGGTCATTTCATGAAAACAGAATCTTATTCCTCATCTTTTCTCCTGTATATTGCAGTTTTCATTAAGCAATACCCCACATGGGAAAATCTCTATTCCTCTGGTCCGATGGGTTGGGTATACTCCCCATTAACTCGCCTTGAGAAAGCACAGCACATGTGATACTGTTAAGTGCACAGTGCTGGGTTCATAAAAAGACTGTCCTCTGTGCTGTGCAGCTTTGCCCTGCTCCTCTGTAGAGGACGCCACAGGGCGTGAGCTCCTTGGCTTTCTGGCTGCTGCATTCACAGACTGTAGGTATTGACTTTTTCCTAGTGTTTAAAATGCCAGGTCTTGTCCTGCACTAGAATTGGGTTTGGGCTCTGGCTGAGAACTAGATGGTTGCACTGGGTCTCTCACGTTCTGAGGGCTGATTCTCCCTCTGCTCTTCTCTGGCAGGTAAGCAGATCCAGGTGTTATCTGGCCACCTGCAGTGGGTTTACTGCTGCTCTATCTCCCCTGACTGCAGCATGTTATGTTCCGCAGCTGGTGAGAAGTCGGTAAGCATCCAGTGTGTGAATATGCACAGCACTCTGCCTGTGTGCAAGAGTGCACGGCATGTGTGTGCCCAAGTATGTATGAGCCTGAGCCAGCCCTCTGCCAGTATGTGAGTGTACATACACAGCATGTGTGTGCCGGAGCCCTACACAACTCTCTGGAAGCTGACACCTGAACATGACAATGGAAGAGGATTTGGAAATGAATACGTCATCTTTGGGAGTGTTTCCTTTTCCAGAATGGCCAAGTGCAGTATTTTTAAATTATTTTTTTCTCCTTTGGAGTCCAGGATTTTAACAGGAGTGTTTTTTTTATTGTTGTTGTTTTTTTTTTTTTTTTTAATTTTTTTAATTTTTGGTTTTTCGAGACAGGGTTTCTCTGTGTAGCTTTGGTGCCTGTCCTGGAGCTAGCTCTTGTAGACTAGGTTGGCCTCGAACTCACAGAGAAACGCCTGCCTCTACTTCCTGAGTGCTGGGATTAACGGCGTGCACCACCACTGCCCAGCCAGGATTTTAGAATCTACAGCCCACATCCAGACCTATTTCCTGTGAGTTGGAATCTTTCCAGTTTGATTTAGATTTGCAGTTCAAACCCTGATAGCAGCAGTCCTGACCTGTCGTTTAAAGGTGCTAAAGCCCAGGGACAGTCTGGAGAGGGAGTTTGTTCTGTTTGTGCAACTTGGCTGACCTTAGATGTGATGGGATGGGACAGTTTAGAAGCGGTGACTGTTAGCATAGCTCAGGAACTTGACCATGTAATGTTTGGAATGAGCAATGAGCAAGTGAGGCATTTTCTTATTTTTTTCTTGAGACAGGATCTTAGGTAATTGAGGCTGGCCTCAAACTCACTGTAGCTGAAGATGACCCTGAACTGACCCTCCAAGCTGCACCTTCAGGCCCATTTTATGCAGTGCTGGGGATGGAACCCAGGGTTTTGGGGAGAGTTAGGCAAGCTCTCTACTGAGCTACATCTCCAGTCTTGAGAATTAAGAAGATAAAAAGGAAAAATGGAACCAGGCGGTGGTGGCGCACGCCTTTAATCCTAGCACTTGGGAGGCAGAGGCAGGCAAATCTCTGTGAGTTCGAGGCCAGCCTGGTCTACAGAGTGAGTTCCAAAGCCATAGAGAAACCCTGTCCCAAAAAAAAAAAAACAAAACAAAAAAAAAAAGGGAAGAAAGGAACCCCTGTTTTGACAAGTCTCAGTAAGGTTTAAAGTTATGAGCTAGGTCAGATGCAGTCATGAGCCTGATTCCCAGGGGAGGGTGCAAGTGTGTGTCATCTGGTTTTTTGAGACAGGGTTTCTCTTCTTAGTTCTGTCCCAGAACCCACTCTGTAGACTAGACTGGCCTTGAACTAATCTATCTGCCTCCAAAGTGCTGGGATTGAAGGTGTGTGCCACCACAGCCCCACTTGCTAAGGTTCTTAAACCAGGTAAATGTTAAGTGTCTGGGAAGGGTGCTGCTGCTTGGTCTATGGGGCCCACTCCTCACCTCATATCTGATGCTATGCTTGGTTTCAAGCAGAACAAGCTATTGATAGAAAGGCACAAGGAGGGCTCAGAAAGCCATGAGAATGTTGAGTAGGCAACCTTCTGCCGTCTAGCCTGGCCTATGCTCTTAAAATGTAATGCACCTTGTAAGTGCTTAAACCTGCATGGTGGGTCCTAGGAAGGCTGTAGAAAAAAAATATATACTTTCCCTGGTTGAGGGGCAGGATGGGGATTGCTGTGGTTGTGATTGCTATGTTGTCTGTGCGAGCACTTTCTGTCTTGTTGCAGGTCTTTCTGTGGAGCATGCGGTCCTACACACTAATCCGGAAGCTGGAAGGCCACCAGAGCAGTGTTGTCTCCTGTGACTTCTCTCCTGACTCTGCCTTGCTCGTCACAGCTTCTTACGACACCAGCGTGATTATGTGGGACCCCTACACTGGCGAGAGGCTGAGGTCACTTCAGTAAGGACCTTGTGGGGTTATACATACTCCCTTGGAGTCTGGGACAGGGAGGAACAGCTTGGGTGGAAGAACGCAGCTGGCTCAGTGCTTCGGTTCAGAATGTGAAACCAGTGACTCTTCCTACCTGTTAACTGTAGTACCAGGTTCAGAGTGACTCTCATCAGAACTGTCAACTCCTGTTTAAATTTCTGTCCTCGCAAGCTTGCTCTACTTTTTCCTTACTTTCTGTTGTTTCCAAAGCAAATGATAGTAATCCTATAATTATCGCAGACCAGCCTAGAAAGGACTCTGCGTTTTCACTGTGGCATTAAAGTGGGGCTGACCTACTTCGCCTAAGGAAATTAGCACAAGTGTTGGTAACCCCTGACACCTTAAAACACTCGGGGCTTTCAGTGGGCCTTGTTTTCCAGTCTGCAGGTGCTATGGTTTTACAGGAGCACAGCCAGAGCACTTGGTGTACTATCTGCAGGTGAGGATGCTGGGGGAGGGTAACCATGGGTCCAGACCTGGTGCTGTTTCTTTGTAGTCACACCCAGCTCGAACCTGTCATGGATGACAGTGATGTTCACATGAGCTCCCTGCGGTCTGTGTGCTTCTCTCCTGAAGGTCTGTACCTCGCTACAGTGGCAGATGACAGGTAAGGAGGGATGCGGGAGGCTGCCTTAGAGCTGATACTTGCGAGTAATGGCAGGCATTCCTTGCTGGCCTTCAACTCAGCATACATGTAACCTCTCTCCCATCCAGGCTCCTCAGGATCTGGGCTCTGGAACTGAAGGCTCCAGTTGCCTTTGCTCCCATGACCAATGGTCTTTGCTGCACATTCTTCCCACATGGTGGAGTTATCGCCACAGGGTATGTATCTGTGTTGAACAGATGGGCAGTAGTATCTCGTGCCTATACTGTGACATTTTTTAAGAGAAGAAAGTGTCTAGAATAGTCTTGCCTAAGAAAATCTAAGGTTATATAAAATATTCTCTCCTGCCACTGTGTCATTTATAGATGTTAACAATTAAGTGCAGCAAAAGACACACACATATATATGGCTCATATTACCCTGAATGGCCAATTCCACAAGGAGGCCTAAGATAAGGTGATGTGGCCACCTTACAGATGACGTCTGTAATTGATAGTGGCATTGTCTATTATGTGTGAGCCCAGGGCCTTCTCGTGCTAGCAAGTACTCTGCTATATCCCCAGCCCTTTTCTTTTGGAGTTAGTATGTAGAGGGGCTGTGATGACTTGTCATCAAAGACATCTGTTTGTAGACAGTGTCCAGCCTTGAATACCTGGGCTCGCATCCTGCTTTAATCTTTTTTTTTTTTTTTTTTTTTGTTTTGTTTTTCGAGACAGGGTTTCTCTGTAGCTTTTGAGCCTGTCCTGGAACTCCCTTTGTAGACCAGGCTGGTCTCGAACTCACAGAGATCTGCCTGCCTCTGCCTCCCGAGTGCTGGGATTAAAGGCGTGCGCCACCACCGTCCAGCTCCTGCTTTAATCTTTGTTTTTTTTTTTCTAAATATTTATTTATTTATTATATATACAATATTCTGTCTGTGTGTATGACTGCAGGCCAGAAGAGGGCACCAGACCTCATTACAGATGGTTGTGAGCCACCATGTGGTTGCTGGGAATTGAACTCAGGACCTTTGGAAGAGCAGGCAATGCTCTTAACCTCTGAGCCATCTCTCCAGCCCTCCTGCTTTAATCTTATACAACAGTTGGGACCACTGGCACGGGCCATATCCTGGGCTCTCATAATTCTATCAAACAGTCGTTATTTAGCAATTTATAGCCCATCCCAGTCAAGAGTGCACTTCAGTTTCTGGAGCCCCCTATTTCAGGGGGCCTGCTAAGGATTGGTTTCTGTTGTTTCAGGACAAGAGATGGCCATGTCCAGTTCTGGACGGCTCCCCGCGTCCTGTCCTCACTGAAGCATTTATGCAGGAAAGCCCTTCGAAGTTTCCTCACAACATACCAAGTCCTAGCACTGCCAATCCCTAAGAAGATGAAAGAGTTCCTCACATACAGGACTTTGTAGTAGCACCAGCCATCCTGACTCCTATAGAGAAGCAATGCAAGGGACTGGCTCGGATGGAGCCAGCAGACGACACTGGACCCGCTGTGGACCTTTCTCCCCATTGGCATGTGCAAGTAGGTCTGAGGGACCCCACTTCGTGGTGCCAGCCTTACCTCGTCTTCATCCGTTGTGAGCGGCCTTCGTCAGTCTAGTTGTCTTGAAGCCAAGTGCAGTTGTGGATGTTGTTTGGATAGAAAAGCAAGCAGGCTCCAGAGCCTGTCTGGTGATGGCCAAGTCCACACTCCCTTCACTGGGAAGTGCCTGCCACGTAGCATAGCATAGCATAGCACCTGCTGCCTGTGTCCAGTCAGTGCTGCATGGTCTGAGGTTCCTAGGCTCTGGTCTAAGGAACGCTCGTGTTTGGCAGGTGGTCTGGGCTGTTCCCCTCACCAATACACTAGTACTGGCTTTTACTTTTCTTTAAACAGTGGTGTGCATGTATAGGAAATGACAAACAAGTACATCAGATCATATGAGGTGCTCCTCAACTGCATGACGGTCAGATGGCCATTTATCAGCACCATATTTATTTGTATTTTCTCAGCAGATATTAAGGTACAACTATGTTTTCTCAGTGGTCTTTGAAAGCCAGGAGTTCTTACGTGGCCCAGTTGTGAAGCCATGTCTAGTTGTGTGGAGTCAGTGTCGTCACTGGCTCATGCTGTCACGTGCGTGCGTTTGTCTCTGCTGCTTGACCTCATGGGACTCACCCTCCACTTCAACTGCCCTAAACATAGCCCCTCCCAAGCACCGCTCTTCACCAGCGGCAGAGCTACCTGTTCGGGATGCCTCACTCACACAAGATCTGCCTTGGGAAAGTTAATATATTTTAAATTATTTTAAAAGAAACGCAACACCTTATTCTTGGACTTTTCTTAATTGATGCTTTATGGAGGCAGTGTTAACATTGTACAGTGTGTGTATAGAGGACTTTCCTCTATTATCTGAAGAGAAACATTGCAAAATGAGGCTTTCATTGAAGGGAGAAAAGAGAGGAAAAAAAAACCTGTCTCTGTCCCTTTTTTTTCCATTAAGAAAAAAAAATCCTTTAAAATAAGCACAAAGGGAGAGTTGGACTCCAGTGGGCAGTTCAGGTTCAGCCATGTGACTGAGACACTGCCTACAGCCCTGACCACTTGGCTACAGCTTTAAACTCCACTGGAAGACTTGGGGAGCAAGCTCTCCATGGACAAGCAGATTTCTCCTTTAGACAGCACATGCTCAACTTCAGGGTCCATGGTGCTGAAAATGCCTCCACCTCAGATGCACCTCACACAGCTAACCCGGTAAACAGCAGGTGGGTCATGGCACACCAGGTGCACTCCGTGTGAGTAGCAAGCACAGCCCCTCTCTAGCCCAGGGGAAGTTTGGTCCCAAGGGAATGCACACACTTTTCTACCTTGTACAGAAGCCTGCCAGAACAGCTTTATTAGGAATAGCCTCCAAGGAGAGCTTATCCTGTGACACTAGAGACAGCAGGCACAGGGCACCGAGCAGGCACCACTCCTACTGTGGAGGACTGGTCTAACTAAGTGCAGCCTGGCCCCGCAGGCGGGGACAGTCACTGGCCCAGAAAGGCAGTCTGAAGACTAGCTGTATTTTTACAGTTTCTCTGCGACTGTCACAAGAGAATTTGGAACCTGCTGGGAAGCCTTCTGAAAAAGAAAAAGACAGTTGTTTTGTTTCTGATAGGGTTTATCTCAGCAGGCTGGCCTACAATTGGCTGGTAATTCTGCCTCAGCCTCTTAAGTCCAGAGGTTATAGGCATGTTACCACACTGGGCAAAAGACCGATTTTTAAACTTTGTAACAAAACAGCTTTGATCAGAAACCCACTTATCACCCATTTAAAGTATATACAAAAGTGAGAAAGTTTAAATTCAGGGATGCAGACCCTAAGTTGGAAGACATCTGAAGGGTTGTTCAATTTGAACATCACACTGAAGACTTAAGGCAAGGCCAATTTTGTCAACTTAGCAACTGACAGTAAAGATTTAAAGCATTTTTCCCCCCACCCCCAAAACGATTTATTTTTCCCTACAAAAGACAAGCAGTGTGGATAGTTACGAATTAAAGTTGCTTGGTAGGTCCGGCTCCCAAAAGCCACAGATAGCACTGCCCAAATGCCTGGGGAGAGACTTCTGTGACCATCTTTATCAGTAGTCCAGGGCAGTACTTCACCAGTGAGCAAGTCCTCTGTCCTCTGTCACTGTTGGGCCTAAGGCAGGGCCAGCAGGCCTTGGAGTGGCTAGGCCTCTGAGACTATCAGGTCTCTGGTGACTTGAAAAGCAGCAATGAGGGAGCTCAGCTGTATCTTCTCATTGGTGCCAACGGAAAGTCTATACCTGTAGACACCAACCCCAAGTTGAGAATAAAGTACACCTAGGCCCTGCCTGTGAGTGGGAGAACGTGAGAGCTGCTGTGGCTTGCCAGGGGGCGCCAGAGCTGATAAACCCACCCTGCAGAGGGCTGCTGTCCATGTACTCCAACAGTCGCTCAGTGAGCACCCCAACACTCGCTCACTCACCAGCTGGTTGACCCCTGCCAAGGACAGACTGAAAAGCTAGCATTGGGAGGCTCTGGATTCTACCCACTCCACCCTCCGCAGACGGCAGGGGGCATGTGATGGGGGTTACAGACTGAAACAACTTTTGCAGAAGGGAGCTGGAGGTTTGTGGTTTTGTCAGCAAAGCAGGGCACTGGCTATTCATCTTGTCACTTTTAAATGCCTAGCCACCGAAAGCAAAATCACTCCCAATGCCGTGATAGAAAATGACCCTCCAATGACAGCTGCTGGAGCTGGTGATACTGGCATTTGATCAAGGCCCAGTGTGCTGTCTACTTAAATGATAGCTACCAGAGTCACTAGGGACTAATGACAGTGTTGACTGAACTGGGCAAAGTGGAAAATTGAGTTTGTTTGCTTTTCCTCCAGTGTGTTCCTGTATGCCACAATGTCTTAATAAGAGGATAGCTGGGCACCCCCAAACAGCCTGCGTACCCGATCTGTGGCAGAGCCAAAGGCTAGAGCTCTGAGGACTGAAGTGACCCTCTGCTTAGCCCTGGACTGGGCTGTGCTTGCCCTGTGCACTATGCTCTGCAGGCAGCCCCTGTCCTCCAGCACATTCCACTTGACACTACCCAAGCTAGGTCACCCATGTCTGAGGAGCATACAAGCTGAAGCCACACAAGCTGAAACTAAAAAGCTTACAGCAGGAAAGGGGACAGGCAAAGGATTGAAACTGGGAAAACACTCACTCAATGTCTGCCATCTTGGTCAGTAAATGTATCCGAACTGAAGATGGAAAGTCAACTGTGGAAAAAGAAAAACGAATAAGATGTGTCACTTCCTAATACAAAACAAAACCACAGCCATCACCCATGGGACTTCTGACAGGGCCGAGCCTCAGGCCCATGACAGCCACCCGACCAGGAAACTGAGGATGGTACAGGCCCCGTGGGTCATTATAGCTGTTTTTTTTTTTTTAAAATATTTATTTATTTATTATGTATACAATATTCTGTCTGTGTATGTGCCTGAAGGCCAGAAGAGGGCGCCAGACCTCTTTACAGATGGTTGTGAGCCACCATGTGGTTGCTGGGAATTGAACTCAGGACCTTTGGAAGAGCAGGCAATGCCCTTAACCACTGAGCCATCTCTCCAGCCCTATCAGCTGTTTTGTGATTTTTGTTTGTCGTGTGGCTATGAAAATATCCAGGCTGGAATGTAGTTCAGGAAGAGTGCTTGGCTAGCAGGCATAAGAAGACTAATCGCATCACCTGTATCACCAGAGCACAGAACACTGAATCATACGCATAGTCTGCATCCCAGTTCGGGGACCTGGAACACGGACAAGTCAACACTGTCCATGGTGGGTGAGAGCCACACGTTAACTAGAAAGCTCATACCGAGTTCTGAAGCCAAACCTGACAACAGGTTCCACACAAGCACACAGTACTGGCTGCTTGATGGAGCCTCTCCCTTTGGAGAGGGAGAAAAGCTTCTAAAATGTTACATGGAGGGGGTCCCTGAGAGCTTCTTAGAAGAGCTGGCACCTGGCTCTCCCTACCCCCACCCTGCTGACTGAATCATCTGGGCCGACTCCCAGGTATGGCCCAAGCTGAGATGACCCCAACACAGCAGACAGGAAGCAGATCCTAAAGGCTGCTGTTTACACAATCTCCTCTCCGAGGGAGGTGGTCCTAGAAATACAACTCATGGGCCGGAGAGCAGCTTAGGATGCCACAGTCCCGGGCTCTGTGGAAACAGCCGAGAGGTGAGCCACATGCATGTGCAGGGCCCTGGATTCAGTCCCTACCCTAGAGTGGGGACATATAACAAGTGAAGAGTAAAATATCCACCTACTGCGCAAAGACGTTCCCTCGAGGAAGTACAGCTCACTGCTCACCCCGGCAGCCCAGAGATGAGGAAGGGTTTGGACAAAGCTTTAACAGCAGTTCAGAACTGCTCCTCTCTGGGTGTGAAAGTCCTCATACCCTGGGAGCCACCCCAAAGCTATGCCTCCACCCCACTCCACACCCGGCCACCAGTTACCTCTATGCACAAACAGGTGAACCTCGGTCAGGATGTCATGCAGAGCCAAGCCCTTCAGAGTCTTCAGCTCCATGATGTCTGTGAGGAGCAGTTAAGGGATGGGCAGCCATTCCAGAACATGCTGCAGGGAGACTTCAAAGTGAGGTTTTTTCACCCCAGCACAGACAGAAGCCTCTCCACTTGGAGCTACACGCAGGCCTAACTCTGACTTGTCCCACCTTATCTTCAATAAGGCTTCTCTTAGAGCGCAGAGCAAGTGGCTGCTTAGACCACACCCGTTATCTGCAGCTTTTCATCTCAGTGCAGACGGAGAACCTCCTTTCCGCCTCTCACAGTCCAGTGCCATCAGGAAGAGAAGGGTCTCTCCACCTGGGGACACCTGCTTCCCATCAGCTGACACCCTTCACCTGGCTGGCTGCAGCCTGGGCCCCCGGGCCCCCCCAGGCCTGAACCTGGCAGCAGTCACCAGAAAGGATACTTCTATAGGCAGTGGTGAAGTCTTGATTCAGCATCCAGTCCAGAATGTTGGCAATGTCTGTCTTAAGGGGATGCCCAGTGCAGGTGTAGACAGTCTCTTCTGTCACCTTCCCAAAGGCCATATTGGTACTCTACAGACAGGAGGACCCAGGGGCTGTCAACAACTGCCCTGCCGCAGTGACATGGCACAGTCAAGGACAGCGTGGATCCTGTACTCTCTACACAGGAAGCCGCTCTCCGCTGCCGATGCTGCTGCTTGCTGTAGAGTCAGCATCCTCCCCCAGCTTCTTGCAGCAGCTCCAAGTCTCCATTAGGAGAACACCCAGGCAGAGAACTGGTCCCCGACAAGGTGTATCTTACCAGGTCTAGGCTTCTGAATGAATGTATAGATTGTCTGTCTGTCTGTCTTGTAAAGCTATTCAAAGCAATGGTTTAATATGTCTGGAGTGGGTTCATACCTGCAGAATGTTCAAAGCCCTTCGCATATCCCCACTGGACAGAGTGACAAGGGCCTTCATTCCATCTTCACTTATATCAACACTAAAAGGAAACAGGAAAAGGAGTTATAAAGTCGTCCCCCTCCCCAAGAGCACAAACATCCTCAACCATGTAACAAGATGGCTTCAAATGATTAGAGCTTTAAAAAAAAAGCAACAGAATGGTGGTGACAGCACTTTCCTGACCTATGGCATCTAGAAGCTGACACAGTGCTTAGGGTGTGTCATGCAAGTAGCCATGCCCCACCCATAGTCTTAACTGTGAACTAAGGCCCTAAGGAAGCTGCTGCCATGAACGACTTTCTCCGGGAAGAAGAGGCCACAGCCCTGCAT